GAAGAAGATGAAGATGATGATGAGGGGGAGGAAGGAGAGGAAGATGAAGGAGAAGATGACTAATAGAACATTGATGGATTCCAACCTTTTTTAATTTTCTCCAGTCCCTGGGAGCAAGTTGCAGTCTTTTTTTTTTTCCTCTTGTGCTCAGTCGCCCTGTTTTTGAGGTCTCTTTTCTCTCCTTTACACCATGGTTCTCACCTTATTTGGGGGGAAATAACTTCAACAGAATACAGTGGGAAAAGAATCTCTGCCCCTTTCTGTTCCAAATTCATTTTTATCCCTTCCTATCTCAACAAAAACTTTATGGAATCAACACCACCATGCTCTGTGGAGAAAAAAGAAAAACCTTCTGCTCCCTTAGCTCTGCTGGAAGCTGGAGGGTGCTAGGCCCCTGTGTAGTAGTGCATAGAATTCTAGCTTTTTTCCTCCTTTCTCTGTATATTGGGCTCAGAGATTACACTGTGTCTCTATGTGAATATGGACAGTTAGCATTTACCAACATGTATCTGTCTACTTTCTCTTGTTTAAAAAAAGAAAAAAAAAAACAAAAAAAAATGGGGTTATAGAAGGTCAGCAAAGGGTGGGTTTGAGATGTCTGGGTGGGTTAAGTGGGCATTTTGACAACATGGCTTCTCCTTTGGCATGTTTAATTGTGATGTTTAATGGACATCCTTGCAGTTTAAGATGACACTTTTAAAATAAAATTTTCTCCTAATGATGACTTGAGCCCTGCCACTCGATGGGAGATTCAGCAGAAGCTGTAGGATCTTAGTCGGAATTGACATCCTCTATTGTAATTTTGTTCCTCTTTATTTTTAAATTTTCTTTTTGTTTCACTGGAAAGGAAAGATGATCAGTTTTAAACGTTAAAAGTGTACAAGTTGCTTTGTTACAATAAAACTAAATGTGTACACACACACACAAAAAAAAGAATGGTCGTGCGTTCTGGGTTTTGCAGAGCTTTTCTTATTAGAGAAGATATAACATTATATGTGTATCTGTGCATGTTAGACTGTTTATTATTACAGCTAAGGAAAGACAGAAGAGGGGCGTGGTGCAGTCTTCCAATATTTTCAGGGCTGTCATATGAAGAGGAAATAGATATGCTATGCCTAGGATTAGCAACAAAATGGGTGGAAGGAAAGAGTCCTGAGGGAAACTGGGCAGCCAGAACATACTATAAAGAGGAAGATCTGAGGTCAAGAGAAGGAAATGCTTTCTGACACGCAGTGCTGCTCTGAAATAAAATTGGCTCCCTCGTGAGAGAAGAAGCCCTTTCATCATGAGAAGAAATGCAAGCAGAGGAGGAAAGATTTCCTATTGGAGTAAGAGGTTAAAATAAATGACATGTAAGGCCCTTTCTTTTAAAAATTTGTTGTTGTTTTTTTCAATTACAGTTGAAATTTAATATTATGTTAGTTTCAGTTGTACAGCATAGTAGTTAGACATTTATATAATTTACAAGGTGATCCCCCCAACAAGTCTAGCACCCACTCGCCACCACACATAATTATAATATTATTGACAGCATTTCTTATGCTGTACATTACATCTACGTGATTATTTAAGGCCCTTTCTAACTCTGAGATTATGAATCTATGGTGCAAAATATATGTAGTAAAGAGATTATATCTAAGATATGGGTAGCATACTCAAGATCTTTTATATAAACATTTTGCTGCCTATAGATGCTATATAAATGTGCTGAATTAAGTACTTGCTAATTAATAAATGAACAACTAATTCATTAAATGATAATTATATAAATATTCATTATATGATAGACTGTAGAAGGAAATAATAATGTTGAGAAAGAAGCCTTTTTCTAAACAATACAGCAAGGCAATTTATCGAGGAACTTTTTTTTTTTTTTTAATCACTTTGTTCACTCCAGTAAACTCCCTTGAAATCAGTAAACAGTGAAGAGGAAGGAGACCAGACTGGGTAATGGCTAAATTTACCAAATTTTATTATTGGCAATAGCAAGTTATTCAACCAAAAGCTGCTGAGAGTTGGAACCTGACACGTCTCTCCCCACATTTCAACACACAAGTTATTCATTGATGTATAACAAAGCACTGCAACACTTTGTAGTGTTAAAAAAAAAACAAAAACAAAACAGACTTTTATTTAGCTCAGTGCAATTTGAATCAGGTTGAACTATAATAGGTGGTTCTGTGAGTCTCCATTATACTTTCTCACTGTGGTCAGCTACCAGTTGGCTGAGTGTCTCTGTTTATGGAAGTTAGGTGTGAATTTGTTATGGGGGCAAGTGGGCCCTGGTTCCCTCATTATCCAGCAGGCTAGTTCAAGCGTGGTCACATGGTGGTGGTGGCAGATTTCTAAAGTAGTTAAGAGAGCAAGCCCCAGAGTATAAGCACTTTTCATCACGTTTGCTATTATCTCATTGACCAAAGCAAGTGTTATGCATTTAATTATATCCTCCCAAAATTCATAGGTTGAACTTCTAAGCCCCACTCACCTCAGTATGTGAATTTATCTGGAGTTCAGGTTGTTGCAGATACGATCAGTCAAGATGAGGTCATACTGGAGTAGAGTGAGCTCCTAATCCAATATGACCTTGTAAATCTAACCTAATCTGATATGTCCTTATGAAAAAGGGGGGATTTGGAGACAGGCACACACAGGGAGGACACCATATGAAGTTTGGAATTATACTGGCACAAGTCAAGGAACTGCCAAAAACTAGAGAAAGGCCTGGCACATAGCCTTTCCCAGCACTTTCCAAAGGATCACGGCCCTGCTGACATCTTGATCTTGGACTTCTAAGCCCCAGAATTGTGACACAGTAAGTGTCTGTTGTTTTATTCACCCAGTTTGTGGTACTGTATTACGGCAGCCCTAGCAAACTAATATGACAAGTCACTTGACAAGCCTAGAGTTAGTATGGGGGTAGACTGACTACCTAAGAGCATAGGCACAGGGAAGCATGAACAAATTGGGGACCAATCCTGCAATAATGTACCACAGAGAGCTAAGAACTAAATCAACAGGAGAGACCATTCCTGGGATGTATGTTCAACCAAGCACATACATTCCAATTATTGGGTTTTAAAAATCACTTTCAACAGTTCCTCTGTATTGCTATGCCATCAACTTGACCCAACATTAGATTCAACTGTTTCATTTTCTTTTGATTTTAGGGATCTGCAGATTGGATGCAATGGCTGGTAATTAGACATTGATGTTATCTTTTCCTGGAGGTTGTACAGGTTCCTGTAAAGACATCTGGGTCAATGTTCAATGCCAACTGCATCCCTATAACCAAATGCAGTAATTGCTTGTTACTGATGTGTGTCCATGAATAATTGAAGAGTTTTACTTTGCTTCTAGCTCTTGATTAAATTCTATGACTGAAGGGAGCTGGGCTTCTCCTTTAAGAAATAAACAGACTTAATCTGTTGAATGGTGCTGACTTTTTTGGTTAATTTCCATGTTTATTATTCTTGCCCCTTGTCCCCAGCTAATCAGACATTCTGTCTGCCATTTACAGGTGATTGACTTGTGCTGTGACACTGCAGAAAGTGTCATTCGAGTCCCCAAACCACTTCTGCTCCTCATGACAACTATGTGATTGGCCATTGTTGGTTCAACAGGTGAAACATTTTAGGAAAAATTTTAGGAAATTTTGCAAACACAAAAATTCAGCTGGACAAGTCATTTCAAGTCCTATTTCAAGTCATATTCAGCTTTACAGAGGTAAAATAATGAGAATTATCCAAGCAATGCTTTGGCAGCAAAACAACATTAGTTTGAATAAGCATTTGTAGAGCACTTCCTCTTCTATAATATCTACCACACTTTATCATAGTTATTCTTTTAAGGACTGCCTTTTCTGTGAGAATTTAGACTCTGTAAGCACAGGAACCATGTCTGTCTTCTTCATTATCATGTCTTCAAGTCCTAGCATATTATAGACCCTAAATAAACATTTTTCTGAACTTATAAATAATTAAATGAATAAATAACAGAGCAAAACATTGACAAATCCCAGCTTCATGACACAGTAGCTATGTCAACCTTGATCAAGTTGAATGAGGGATAGTTTTAAAAATACATATTCCTGGGAAATACTTCACATTTACTGAAACTTAGACTGTTAAAGTAGAACTTCAGAATCTGAATTTAGTTGTTAAGCTCTGATACAATGGACTGGTGTTCAGAAATCCTAATCTAGTATTCCTGTTTATTTATTTTGTTTTTTTTATTCCTGTGTATTTCATGCTAGAGCCCCATCAAGAAACTTTCCAATCTGCATTTGGATAGTCTCAGGCAGAGGGACTCATTACATGGTGCGGTGGTGCTATGTTTATGAACGTGGCGGAGCCTGAGCCAGACT